AGAACTGCAAAGAAACCCCTATCACGATTTTTTCCCAAACCCTTTAAGGGAGGGGGGGTGAAAGGACAGGGGGGTTTTGGTCCCACGTTACTAAAAACAACAGACATAGCCCCACTCCCCAAAGGGGGCATAAAGCAACAGCAAAGAACCCTACGACCGAAAAGCCCCAAAACCCTCCCATATCAAAAAAAATCTTTAAAAAGGGTCCAAAGAAGCAAAAACCACCCCCCATCTAAAAAACCCCTCATTACACAACCCGGGGGCAACATGGGTTTAAAAACAAGCCCGCCCCTGTCTGTTTTTAAAAAACAAATTGGAACATTTACGACAAGGCCCCCCCCCTAAATGCACTAGAAGACAAAAAAAAAATGCGGGGAATGAAATAATACAGATTTTGGGCCAAAAGGGCCTTCGAAAAAGTGTGACCAGGGGCGTAATAGCCCAAAAAAAAAACTTTGCAAAAAAGGGAAAAAACAGGAAAAAGTCGATCGAGGGATCTAAAATTTTCCTCATAAACAAAAAAAACCCGGGAGAATATTCGTTAAACAGAGAAAGCCCGGGGGCCCGGCTCCCGGTAAAAACTTGTTCCAAAAGGGACATTTACTCGCCCCCTTCTTGTTCCCCCACCCTTTAAAATATCCGAAATAAAAAAAGGAAAGGTCAGCCAAAACCCACCGGTTTTTCCCTTTTCCCCCAGAGGGGAACCCCCCGAATTTTCCCAGGGACTTTGTTTTCCCAAATTGGGGGACATGCAAGGGCTCCGGGCCCGGAAACATAAAACCAAATCTTTCAGGGGGGTTTGCTAAAAACAATAAGAAAGTTCAAACGATGAAAAAAATTTTAATTTTACTCAAAAATAGAAAAAACACGGGGAAGTTAAATATTCATCAGATTTAACAAAAAAAAAAATTTTTGGCCCCCACAAAATAGAGGGGAAACCCCAACGTCAAAAACCCCCGGGAGGGGATCGTCGGGGGGATTCACCTTAAAGGGGACCTTAAATTTTTTTAAATGGGCATTTTTGGCTGGGAAAAATGACGGGGGATGGTAATGAGAACCTTAAAAAAATAGGGGGGGAAAAGCCCTGGGGACACTTTTGGGGTCACTTTTTTTCCTACAAAGGCTGGAAAAATTTTCCCTGCAACTAACAGCACCTTTAAAGGGGGAAAAAATTTTTGCTGCCCTTTGAAAATGACAGAAAACCCTTTTCACGGCGCGCATAACGGAAAAAAAAAAATACCTAAAATTACGGGGAGCCCCTTTGGGGGTTTCCAAAAAACCTGTTTTTTCCCTGGAAGGGCGGGCCCAGGAAGATACATGATTTATACAAAACCTGGAAAAAAATTTTTGGGGGGCTAGTCCCGGGAACTTGAAACCACAAAAATAAACCATTACGAAAGCAAAAGATTTTGGCAGACGATGCAACATCCCCCCAATAAAAAAGCGGGGGGTTCCTAGCATTTTAAAGAACCAACAAAAAGTTTTCAGGGGCCCAGACTGTTTTAACGGGCCCCCGGGGCATACAAAAAGGGGGAAATTACCAACAAAAGCCCTGGCCCCCCCCTTTCAAGCGGGCACTGGACAACCCACCTAAAAGTGGGTTCCGGGGGGGCCAAAGCCGTTTTTTGGGTTTGCGGGGGCCCAGCCAGCAGAAACGCCGGTTTTTTCGGGGCCTGATCCCCCAGGGGGGACGGTCACAGCCCGGGCCGGTGGGGGGGGGTTAAAAACCCCGGGGAAAACTCCACTCCGGGCCCCAAACTCCGGGAAAAAACATTATTTCGGGGGGAAAAAAGCCCCCTCCCCCAAAAGGGGCCTATAAAAAGAAGGAAAAACTCTCATGTTTTTTTGAAATGCAGTGGGGGAATTAAAAAAGTAAAATCCTTTTCCTCTTTAAATCACTCGGGAAAAAATTCCCGGGAATTTTTAAGCAAAACCTGAAAACCCAGATTCAAAAAAGCCATTTATTCCCAAAAAGGAGTGGTTTTAAATTATTATGTGTTATTTTATTCTTTTGGGTTTTTTTGAGGGAATTTTTTTTATGAAAAAAAAAATGCTTTTTGCTATTAATGTGTTTCCCTTTTTCATATAAAATTAATTTGAGAAGAAAATTACAAAAGATAGTTGGGATTATTAATAATGTCAAGGGTCCCTGTTACGATGCGTTAGTAAGGGGGACAATAGGATTTTAATGTGTACCCCATGCCAACACAAGGGTTAAGATATTATCGTGAAAAGAATTATTAACAGAAAACACAAAATATGAATAATTTAAAAAAAGAAATTTGGAAATTTCAGACAATAATGTGCTCAAAAAGAATGTAAAATGGGTGCCGGATGTAGAAAGAGTGCTTTTTTTCTAATTTGAAATCCTTAATTAAAATGCAAAAGGCAAAACCTGTAAAGGGAGCCCACTTATTACAAATGACATTTATGGCCAAAGGGGATTTATTATGTGTATAGATTTAACATGGCATAGACTAAGGGAACTTTGGAGAGAAACAAAGGATGTTTTTCATTAAGGTTTTTTTCCAAAATTTGGACGAGGATTAATGTGAAAGTGGCCCCGTTAACATTTTAACGTGAAGGGTAAGTAGGCGAAAACGTTTTGTCGAATTTTTCCCCATAGAAAGGGAAGGGGGTTTATCCGTGGCACCAAAGTGAAAAATTTTTTTTCCCGAAATTTTTTTAATTCCAAACTGAAAAAGGCTCCCAAAATTACAGGACCTTTACTTTTAGGATCTGGGATGATTGATGGGATGGGAGAGGGAGAGCATTATCAGTGGGGTCCCTCGATTGAAGGTAGCAAGCCTTTTTGGCTTCCCTCTTCAAGCCACTAGGCCCTAAGTCACTACTTCTTTCCACAAGTACTGTCCATAGTGCCTGACCTCTCGTTCCTTTATCACTTCCCTAAAGTGTTTCAAAACCTTGTCAGTGTACAGGTGCCAACACGGCTTCAATAGCTGTGTGAGGTGATTTCACCCCATGAAGGTTTGCACTTCAGCCACTTGCACAGATTTCCTTATCTTTGTGTAGGCACTTCTTCAATTTCTCTCCCCCCCTCCCCAACCAGTTCCCCGGTCTGCCTCTTGCTCTTGAAGTTATCATCAGCTCATCATGTTAGTTCTTCATGTCCCCCCTCCACCAACTTTTCCCCACATCCCCCCACTACCTCCAACCCCAAGACTTTCCCAATGCCACATGATTCCTCACTGGTAATCCTCTCAGGGGTACCCCTCAACCCCTTCAAAACCCTTTGTCTACACATTCTGGCCACAGTTTCTTCCAAGGCAGAGTTCAAGGTCCTCTTAGTCACTTCCTCCCAAGCCTTACCTATAAGGTTTACACAATTGAGGATATTAAAGTGATCTCTCCAAAAACCTCTCTTAGAGTCAGTTAAGTTTCTGAGGTCATTACAAAGCACCTTTCAAACAGAGCTTTTGTGTACAGTTTCTTGAAGAGGGAAATAACCTGCTGGTCCATGGGCTGCAGGAGAGGAATGGTATTAGGAGGAAAAAAACTTCACCTTAATGAAGCTCATGTCCCCATAAAGCCCGCTCTGCCACGTCTGTAGGATGACCAGGGGCATTGTCTAACACCAGGAGGCACTTAAGTTCTAATTTCTTTTCAGTTAGGTAATCTTTTCACATTGGGGGCAAATGCATGGTTAACCAGTTATAGAAAAATTCCCTAGTGACCCATGCCTTACTGTTTGCCCTCCACAGCACACACAAATTATCCTTGAGGACATTTTTTTGCCTGAACGCTCTGGGAGTTTCAGAGTGATACACTATAAAGGCTTCACTTTGCAATCACCAGTGCATTGGCACACATGAGAAGATTTAAGCCTTTCTTTCATGGGCTTATGTCCTGGGAGTGCCTTTTCCCCCTGAGTAATGTAGGTCCTGCTTGGCATTTTCTCCAGAACAGGCCTGTTTCATCACCAAATTAAACACTTGTTCAGGTTTCAGCCTTCAGTTTCTATGTACTCCTTGAATTCCTGCACATATTTTTCAGCCGCTTTGTGGTCCGAACTGGCAGCCTCACCAGGGCCTTATCACACTAGGGGATGCCACTATGTTTTCTTAAATCTCTCAAACCAACCTTTGCTGCCTTAAATTCACTCACATCATCACTAGTTGCAGGCATTTTTTTAAATTTAAAATTTCCTCATGCAATTTCCCTAGCCTTTTCACATATGATCGCTTGAGAGACGCTATCTCCTGCTAGCGTTTTTCATTTATCCACACCAATAAGAGTCTCTCAACATCTTCCATCACTTGCGATCTTTGTTTCGAAAACACATTTTAAACCTTTGGCAAGAACGGGCTTCCTTGATTGTCTTTTGGTGCCCACAATAGTAGCGATGGTTGATTGGGGGTTTCTTGTACAACTTGACTAGGTCGGCGATACGCACTCCACTTTCATACTTATCAATGATCTCTTTCTTCATTTCAATGGGAATTCTTACCCTTATTGGTGTACGGTTGGCACTAGAAGCTTTCTTGGGGGCCCATGGTCACTTATTTCCAGAAACAGCACCGAAAACACTGTAATAATACGAAATATTCCGAGTGTATGCTTGGATGTTACCGCGGAGGCTGGCTGGTAAACGATGGCACGGGCGGCACATGTGAGGCTGGCTGAGGGCGCACATTGGACGCGTCTCGGACGAAAATCGGTGAGCGGGTTTTTAATCGGTATGCGCGGCAAAAATTTTGCGATTAAAGTAAGCGGTATGCGAAATAATCGCTATGTGATGCCATCGTTATGCGGGGGTCCACTGTATTAACTTTAAAGTAAGACATTTAACATGCCCAAGAGTGAGTCATGAACGTATGAGAGGCCCAGGTGAATGTGTCTGGTACCAATGATTTCCGAGCGGATGCACGAAATCGGGGGGAAATTTCGCTGAAAAAAGTGCTCGATTTCTGAATAGGCTGATTTCCACAACAGCCGAAAACCGGGGGTCCACTGTATGTGTTTATTTTTGTGATTTTCAGATTCGATAATACCATGGGAGGACTGACCAGCAGACACGTCGAGGTGATGACAAAGGAGCCAGAGACACAAGGAACACCCAAACACACTCATGTTCTGCCCTATGACCCACGTTCCCCATCAGATTACATAACAAGAACTCCCATTACTGTATGGAAGAGAAGTATTATTTTTGCCTTGTTAAACTTTTTTATTTTACCACAATGGTTATTCCCAGTATAAAGAGCGCTGTAAATATGGATATATATGGTGGTATGTGTGTTTAATGAAACAAAAAGTTGTAAGTGTATTTACTTTGGCCTAGTTTAATGTATACATTATTATTATTATTATTATTATTTTATTACCATATATCCATACAGTATTTCACAAAAAAGAAGTGCTAAACCCATGAGGATTAGATAGAAAGCCTGATATATATAGACAATGCTATATCTGCTTGTAGCATTTTTTGTAGGGAAGAATGTTATTAATTTTTTCTTAGATACTGAAAAAATGATAAATTTTCTGAAAAGTGCATTTGATTTTTTAATCATTTTACATTTCTTGCATAAACTGAATGTGAAGTAATATATTGTACAGTATGTGTCTTTATAAATACTGTACATTAATTTTCTTATTTTTGCACCCAGTCATGTCAAGATTGATTATTACAGTTCAGTTTTTACTTCAGTATCACAATATATAGTGTAATAAATAATATACTATGCTGTGAATTGCTAATAATTATCTTAATTTTACTTGCGTATAGCAGTACAGTACAGTGGACCCTCGATTATTGGCCGTAATCCATTTCAGAAGGTCGGCCGATAACTGAAATGGCCGAAAACCAAATTAACCCTTTGAGGGTTTCAGCCGTACTAGTACGGCTTACGACCCAGGGTTTTTGACGTACTAGTACGCCTAAATTCTAGCGCCCTCAAATCTAGTGGGAGAAAGCTGGTAGGCCTACATATGAAATAATGGGTCTATGTGGTCAGTGTGCACAATATAAAAAAAATCCTGCAGCACACAGTGCATAATGAGAAAAAAAAAACAGCGACTTTGCACTGTATTTTCGTATGGTATTTATTGTTGTATTCTAGTTTTCTTGGTCTCATTTTATAGAATGGAAGACATATTACAGAAATTGAGATGATTTTGACTGGTTTTATAATGAAAAGTACATGCCTTGAAATTGAGCTCAAAGTAGCAGAAATGTTCGAATTTTACCAAAGTTCAAAAGTAAACAAATCATGCCAAGTGTCCAATACACGTCAACTGGTGAGTCTAATATTCTTTTGCAAGTGCGCCAATATTATTTATACCATTTTTTACACTAATACAGTAGTCTGCATAACAGTAAATCTTCTATTTTTTGTGAGAATAAAAATTGAAAGTGGAAAGCAAAAGAATGTAAGAGGGGCCTTGAGACGTGACTAATGAACAGAGGAAATGGCATTTTAGTGCCAGGAATGTCTTTCTTGTTTATTTTGGACCCTATTCGGAAATTGGCATCTTTTGAAATTTGTGTGAAATTGGCAAAATTGCTAAATTCTGACCACTGTACTGGATAGTTGAAATTGGTAAATGGGTGGTTTCTTGCACCCATTCGATAGAAAAAATGGAGTTATAGCGAAATATTCATGTTTTTTGTCGACTAGTACAGTGGAATTGGCTGAAAGTGGGCAAAATCGCCAATGCGTAAACATCGCCAAGACCGCTAACTTCACGAGAGCATAATTCCGTAAGTTTTCCATCAAATTTCATGCTTTTGGTGTCATTATGATTGGGAAAAGATTCTCTATCTTTTCATAAGAATTTTTTTTTTTTTTAATTTGGCCGTCCCTGAGAACGAGTCTCGGAGAGGGCCTGTCGACCCTCAAAGGGTTAATATTTCCCATAAGAATTAATGGAAATACAATTAATCCGTTCCAGACAAAAATAGTCACAAAAAATTTTTTTTTTAATAATTATGTAAGTATTGCATACCTTTATTGAAGGCTAATGCTGGCTTCTGGAAGATAGGGAAGAGGAAAGAGGGAGGAGTTAGTGTTTGGAAGAAGAATCCCCCTCCATAAAGACTTTAGGTAGCAAAGCCTTCTCTGGGGTTACTTCCCTTCTTTGTCTTTTAATGGCACTGGGACCAGCTTGAGAGTCACTGGACTCCTGTCTCACAACAAATCTGTCCATAGAGGTCTGTTTCTGCCATCTCTTTAAGATTTCCCTGAAGTGGGACAGGGTTTTGTCACTGAACATGTTGCAAATATGGCTTGTTTGAACTTGGTCATGGTGGTGTTTCTCTACAAAAGCTTGCACCCTAGTCCACATTGTACACACCTCTTTAATCTGTCATTTACTGCTACAGTATATTCATTACTTACCTTAAAATATTTGTGGTCTTAATGTAGGGCAAGAGGTGAGTAGTATTTATTTGTAGGAAGTCAGTGTAGGTAGCGGTAGATGTAGGTACAATACACGTATTTAGCCCCCCCACCTTGGGGTACACTACACAGCTATATTATTACACTACACAGCCATATTATTACACTACACAGCCATATTATTACCATATTCACTGAGTTTAATCATTTCAAAGAACTACCTTTAGATGCCATCATAAACAAAGGGAGAAGTAATGAATAATTCATGCCGAGAATTGTAAACATACACATATGAAGGGTGGTTACTGCACCAGTCGCCAGATTCACAGTTTTCTTTAATGCTGCATCAGAGAAAATGTAATGTTTACTCTCCATCCCACTCTCCACTTGATAACATATAAACATTGCATGTTTATATGCTACATGATGTATAATGTGTTTCTTATATAATTTTGAAAAAATATCATAGATACATTAATGAAAATGTCTATATTAACGTAAAATAAGACATTTAATGTGGCAAAGAGTGATTATTAAATATACATCGCATATAATAAACATTACATGTTTATATGCTATTTAACGTGTTTCTTATATAATTTTGAAGAAGACAGCTGGATTAATGAAAATGTCTATATTAATGTAAAATAAGACATTTAATGTACCAGTGATTATTATTAAATATACAACGCATATAAACATTGCATGTTTTTATATACGTACTATGTAACGTGTTTCTATGGGCTCATGGTTGCTTATTTTGCAGTTGCACTCAATCAATAACCACAAAAAAACAATGGATTATAGCAAAATGTTTGGATGAATAAGCAGAAGCTTCCTCAATCGCCCAGAGACAAAGCCAAACTGACTCACAAGTGGCCCCAGCCGGCGGATGGACGCCTCCCATATGACCGATAACTGAATTAACGGCTGATAACCGGGCGCTGTAAAACTGGCTGATAACTGAACCAGCCAATAACCGGGGGTCCACTGTATTCTAAAAATAGTATTTTACTAGACAACAAAGTCATAATTGTTATTTTTAGCAGGTTGCAAACACTCCTGACAAAGGTTGTGAAGATACTCCTCGAATTTTTAAAGTGCTTTCTTTGGATCCCCGTTCACCAAACACTGAAGTGAGTATGTTTGGTTGATGATGGAATTTTGATTATTGAACTAAATTTTTTTAGCATTTAGTCTGTAGTGGAAGGAAGGCGGGGTAGGGGTCGGCCTAGGAAGGGTTGGAGGGAGGGGGTAAAGGAGGTTTTGTGTGCGAGGGGCTTGGACTTCCAGCAGGCATGCGTGAGCGTGTTTGATAGGAGTGAATGGAGACAAATGGTTTTTAATACTTGACGTGCTGTTGGAGTGTGAGCAAAGTAACATTTATGAAGGGATTCAGGGAAACCGGCAGGCCGGACTTGAGTTCTGGAGATGGGAAGTACAGTGCCTGCACTCTGAAGGAGGGGTGTTAATGTTGCAGTTTAAAAACTGTAGTGTAAAGCACCCTTCTGGCAAGACAGTGATGGAGTGAATGATGGTGAAAGTTTTTCTTTTTCGGGCCACCCTGCCTTGGTGGGAATCGGCCGGTGTGATAATAAATAAAATAAAATTATTTTACCTACAGTAATACTAGCATTGTTGGCCTGAATTGCCTATAGAAGCCTTAGTGTGGTTCATTGAATATTAGTGTCCCACGAGGTAGCATTCTGGGTCCTCTTCTATTCCTCAGTATCACTCAACTACCAAATGACTCGTAAGTATTTAACTCTTTCAGTGCCACGTGGGTGTGTTATTAACGTCATTGACACTTGAGTAGAAGTATATCTTAATCATAGCTCCCTCAAATATGCTATGAGCAGTAAATTTTGTCCTTGACAAGAAGGAATGGATCTGTGCTGTATAAAAAATTCCTCCACTCAGTATATGATAGAACAGCTATCCTCTTGACTTTGTGTTTGGGTTAAAATAGCCATGAAACATGGTTTTATTGGTAAGTTCTTAGTGCCAATTTTTAGCCCTTAAGACATACCAGTGAAATAGATGATATTGGTCAGTTTTATACTAGAAATGGCCTAAAATAGGCCTCAGAGTGGTAGAAATATTAGATTTTTGTTGAGTTATTCTGAGGAAGGGCAGGGGCTTTCCTAGCCCACTGATCTACCTTGTGGGGGTTTACTAGGTCTGCTTCAGTTATTGGTGTGGCCTAAACCATGACCAAGCATTCTTAGTTATATTTCATTTGCCAAGAAATAGGGAAAACATTGATTTTTGTGTATGATGGATTCAAAATGGAAGTCAAGTGTTAAATAGGAGAGGCCTGGGGATGTGATTAATGAACAGAGGAAATGTTGCTTTAGTGGCTGGAATCCTTAGTGTTTTTGAAACTGGAATTTTGTGTAAAATTGCCAGATTACTGGCTTCTGAGCTTTGTAAGAATTGTGCATTGAATGGGCAGTTTCTTGCACTTGTTCAATAATGCAAAAGGCATTCAGTAGAAAACCTAAAGTTGAACATTATTTTGCATTTTAAATTTAGCTTTTCACTTCCAATAGAAGTGGAAAATTTCCATTAATGCACATCAGAGCAGAATTAATTTCCATTAAGGAGTGCTACAACAGGCAGGTGGGAGACCTATCACTACACTTTGAGGAAATCTATTGTTAAGAACATAAGAAAGAAGGAGCACTGCAGCAGGCCTACAGGCCCATGTGAGGCAGGTCAAAGTCACCTAACAGTTGTAGCCATGCAGGGAAGAGTGTGAAGGAGGGTGACGTGATGCAAACAAACAGCCTTCCACGTGGGTCAGTGTATACATCACTCAGTTTTTCCTTCTTTTCATCACCTCATCTCATCTGGATATTTATCATAGCATCAAAAAGTATAGGTGATGCTGGTGAAGCAAGGAAGAAAATTAAGCATGAACTACCCTATAAAATGCTCAGAAGTTGGTAATTTGGCCAATTTTACACAGAATTCAACAAATTCTAGTTTAAAAGTAGAGTCCAAAATAAACTGTAGGCATACTTGAAACTGAAGCAACATTTACTATGTTGAATAAAAAGGACACATGTGAAACCAATGTCAGGAGCTTTGTCAAGAAATTATGACTTGACAAAGCTCCTGAAGAGCTAAATGTTGCCATGATAAAATGGTGCATTAGTTGCACGTATCCTTTTACCTAACGTATTGTCGGATAATGAGGCTCAGGTTAGGGTGTGTAGAAGAGAGGGAGACTACTTCCCAGTAAAAGTAGGTCTTAGACAGGGATGTGTAATGTCACCATGGTTGTTTAATATATTTATAGATGGGGTTGTTAAAGAAGTAAATGCTAGGGTGTTCAGGAGAGGGGTGGGATTAAATTATGGGGAATTAAATACAAAATGGGAATTGACACAGTTGCTTTTTGCTGATGATACTGTGCTTATGGGAGATTCTAAAGAAAAATTGCAAAGGTTAGGTGGATGAGTTTGGGAGTGTGTGTAAAGGTAGAAAGTTGAAAGTGAACATAGAAAAGAGTAAGGTGATGAGGGTATCAAATGATTTAGATAAAGAAAAATTGAATATTAAATTGGGGAGGAGGAGTATGGAAGAAGCGAATGTTTTCAGGTACTTGGGAGTTGACTTGTTGGTGAATGGATTTATGAAGGATGAGGTTAATCATAGAATTGATGAAGGAAAAAAGGTGAGTGAGGCCAAGACCCACATGTTACTGAATTCACAAACACTATGAGTAACTGCATGTTGCTACCAACAGTAACAAAACCTACAAGAGTTACCTAGACTAGTGTTTCCCTACTAGACCACATCTGGACCAACACCATATCCCCCTTAAGATCAGGCATAATCACAGATAATACCACAGACCATTACCCTACCTTCCTCATAACTAACCTTGGCAAATTACCCCTAGACACTACTAAAGTCACTTTCAGACTTCACAATGAGGCAGCTATCAATAACTTCACAGCAGCAGTGACAAACATTGACCGGCACACTGAGCTAGAAATCTATACAGATATTGACGAATGTATTGATAATTTTCTATAAAAGACCCAATACCTCTATAACAAGCCCTAAAAAACTAAACAGATGACTGCAAAGAGACTGAACAGTCCCTGGCTAACACCCAGTATCCTCAAATCCATAAGTACAAAGCACCTATACGAAAAACAGTACAGAATGGGCCACATAACCAGAGACCAAACAAAACGTTACTCGTCAATCCTAACCAGCCTAATAAGAAGGGCTAAAAAATTGTATTATGAGAACAGATTATCCAACTTACGAGGTGACATAAAAAAGACCTGGAAAACCCTATCAGAAATACTAGGAACAAAAAAGATAACCCGAAATAGCGAAATTGAATTAACAAAACCAGATGAACCCCAAATTCCCACCTACTGAAACAGCAAAAAAGACTCAATGATTTCTTCTCCACTATGGGAAAAAAAAAAACCTTGCCAAAAAAAATCCCAAGCTCAGATACCCCACCCAATGACTACCTCACTGGCAACTACCCGAACACACTGTTCCTAGCTCCGACTAACCCAACTGAAGTCTCCCTTATTATCGACAAACTAAAAACAAGACAGGAAATTTAAATACCTTCCCCACCCATTTTTATACAAAAAAGTGTCAAGGTTACTATCACCAATCATTGCAACACTCTTTAACAATCCATTGAATCCTCTACCTTTCCTACAGTTCTCAAAATAGCAAGGGTCACCCCGATCCATAAAAGAGGAGACCACACAGACTGGAATAACTAAAGCCCAATATCCAACTTACACCCTCCTCTAAAAATCTTTGAAAAATTAATCCATAAGCGTATCTATTCCTACCTCTCTCCCACAACATACTAAACCCCCTGTCAATTGGGTTCAGGCCTAATAAAAATACTAATGATGCTATTATCCACATGCTAGAACATATTTATACAGCAATAGAGAAAAAAGAAATCCCACTGGGGATCTTCATTGACTTACGTAAAGTTTTCGATACAGTTGCCCCACGACTTGCTCCACATAAAATTGTCGCACTATGGTATAAGAGGGCACTCCCTCAACTACCTAAAGTCATACCTCAGCAACAAAAGCCAATATGTGTACACAAATGGGGCAAACTCTTCCGCACAGCCAGTTACAGTTGGTGTCCACAGGAAGTGTCCTAGGCCCTCTTCTCTTTCTCATATACATAAATGACCTACGAAATGCATGGGCAACTACTCAAACCCACACTATTTGCAGATGACACTACATACGTCTACCCCTCACCCGAGCCCAGTCATGCTAGCCAATACTGTAAATACCGAATTACAGAAAATACAACCTGGATGAGGACCAACAAACTTACTCTACACATTGACAAAAACCCACTACGTACATTCAGTTTGGTAACAGGCTGCAGATGTTGTCTCTTAACATAATGATAAAATGGTCACCTATCACAAAACTCCAGAGGAAAAATTCCTAGGAATCCACCTTGATAATAGACTCAAATTTCAAACCAAAAAACAACAAATTTCCAAAAAAATTCCAAGACCGTAGGCATACTAAACGAAGATACCCGTACTATGTTCCACAGTCAGCCCTCCCGGCCTATATCACTCACTTAATTTACCCCTATCTCACTATAGATTTGTGCATGGAGGCTCAACAACAATAAACCATCTCAGACCACTAAACACCCAACAAAAGGCTGCAGTCCCGAATGATAACAAATTCCAACTACAGACAGCACACTCCACCAATATTCAAAAATCTGAACGTACTCACAAACAAAACATCCATACTTATTACTGCACCTACTACATACATGAACACTTACTTGACATTTAAAACCCCCCTCTCAACATCTCCTTACCAACCTCAACAGAACACATGACCATAACACAAGACACAGATCACTCTTTGATGTTCCTCGTGTCCATCGCACGCTATGCAAAAACTCAATGCACATAAAAGGCCCTAAAGTCTGGAATTCATTACCTGTGAATATAAAAGAAACACTGCCTGTTTATAAATTCAAGTCTCTTCTCAAAAATCACTTACTCACCCACAACTAAATAAATACTGAATAATTGTATCTCATAAATTGTATCTTAGTAGTAGTAGGTTGGTAGACAGCAACCACCCAG